TCATGCCGATCAAGCAGAAGCGGCGCTACCTCTCGGCTGACAGACGTGACTTCGTCAAAGGGGAGGTTACCATGCTCCTCTCAATCAACCACATCAAAGAGGTGAAGTACCCGACCTGGTTGGCCAACGTCGTCCTCGCCTAGAAGTCGCCGATGTTCAGAATGTGCGTTGATTACACTGACCTGAACAAGGCGTGCCCTATGGACCCGTTCCCTCTCCCCAACATTGATCAATTGGTGGAAGAGATGGCGGGGTGCAAGTTGATGTCGTTCCTTGACGCCTTTAGGGGGTACCACCAGATATTCATGCATGAGGATGACGCCGAGAAGACGACCTTCATGACCCCGGAGGGAATTTTCTGCTACCTCGTCATGGCCTTTGGGCTCAAAAACTCGGGCGCCACATACACCAGAATGGTAGCCAAGGTCTTTAGAGCAGTCCTCGGCCGGACGATGGAGGCATACGTCGATGACATGATCGTCAAGAGCAGGCAATCCATTAGCCACGCCGACGACCTCCGAGATATTTTTGAGATAATGAAGAAGTTCCAGCTCCGCCTAAATCCGAAGAAGTGCACCTTCGGCGTCCAGGGGGGCAAGTTCCTCGGTTACATGGTCAGCCGAAGGGGCATTGAGATCAACCCAGAGAAGATACAGGCTATTATCAACATGGAGCCACCGCGAAACGTGAAGGAGGTAAAACGGCTGACGGGACGCCTTGCGGCCCTAAACCGTTTCCTCTCAAAATTGGCTCAAAGGTCTCTCCCTTTCTTTCAGATCATGCGCAAAGCAAATGGCTTCAGGTGGACGACGGAGTGCCAACAAGCATTTGAGGAACTGAAGCGGTACTTATCGTCCCCTCCCGTGCTTTCCAAACCTAAAGCCAGTGAAACCCTCTTCCTATACTCCGGGGTGAGCACATCAGCCGTCAGCTCCGTGCTCATCCGCGAGGACGAGGGGGTACAGAAGGCAATCTTCTACATAAGCAAGACATTGCGGGAGGCCGAGCTCAGGTACTCTCCCATTGAGAAGACAGTACTGGCCATTGTCTATACAGTGAAGAAACTAGGACTACTTCTTGTCCCACGCCGTCCACGTCTTAACTCAGCAACCCCTCGGCGCGCTCATGCGGAGCCCCACCAGTTCCTCACGGATAGTGAAATGGGCGATCTTCCTCAGCCAGTTCCAGATAGAGATTTAGTCGAGGCCATCCATCAAGGGGCAGGCCTTGGCCGACTTCGTCACCGAATGCACATCCAGGGAGACGTACGCTACCACACCAGGGCCAGAGCCAGACGAAGCATGGACTCTTTACTGACAGTTCATCGGCCACCAAAGCTTGTGGTGGCGGGGTCGTCCTCATTTCCCCTGAAGGGTTCAGAGCCTACTATGCCATCCGCTTCAACTTCAGGGTATCCAACAATGAAGCCGAGTATGAGGCCCTTCTCAGCGGCCTCAGACTCGCCGCCGGCCTCAAAGCACGACACATCAAAATCAGGTGTGATTCCAAGCTAGTGGTGGGCCAGATCGAGGGCTCATACGAGGCTAAAGAAGGGAGGATGAGGCAATGCAAACAGGCGGCCGAGGAGTTGCTCAAGGCATTCAAAACCCATGAGATCACTCAGATCCCAAGGGAGGAGAATGCTGAGGCCGACATCCTCTCCAAGCTCAGCTTAGACACTCCAGAGCACATCTCCAAGATAGCCAAGGTCGAAGAGCTGAGCATGTCCAGCATCCATGCCAGCCCGGTCACGTGCATTCAACAGCGGCCGGAGGACTGGATTACTGACATCATGACCTTTATTACCTCGGGAGAATTGCCCCAGGACGAGGAGAGAGCCAAGCTAGCCAAACTCAGGGCCCCGAGCTACACCATCGAGGATGGGAAACTTTATAAAAGATCTTACAACGGCACTCTCCTCCGATGTCTGCACCCAGATGAGGCCGAAGTGGCCATGGAGGAAGTCCACTGTGGCGTCTGCTCCTCTCACCAGGGCCCCTTCAGCATGTCCCGGCGTCTCGTCGTCCAGGGCTATTTCTGGCCGACGATGGCGCGGGATTGTGCCAATCTTGCAAGGAAGTGTACCGCATGCCAGATCCTTCAGAAAGCCCCTGGTCGGCCAGCCGTCAACTACGCCCCGGTCAGCACTGCGATCCCATTCTCAAGATGGGGTATTGACCTGGTCGGCCCCTTGCCCAGAGCCGCTGGCAACAACTGCTACATCATCGTCGCCGTAGACTACTTCACCAAATGGGTTGAGGCGGAACCTTTGGCCAGCATCACCGGGGCCAAGTGTCAGAAATTCGTCCACAAAAACATCCTCACCCGCTTCGGCGTCGTTAACGAGATCATATCCGACAACGGTACCGAGTTTGAGGCCACGCCCTTTCAAGAGCTCCACCAGGAGTGGGGAATCAAGCATCGTTTCTCCTCTGTTGCCTATCCTCAAGGCAACGGGCAGGTCGAGAACACTAACAGGACCATCCTGGAGCGCCTAAAGAAGAAGCTCCAGGATGCAGGGGGCAGTTGGGCCGATGAGCTCCCCAATATCCTATGGTGCTACCGTACTACGCCGAGGAGGGCAACGGGCGAGACACCCTTTGCCCTTTGCTATGGCTTCGAAGCAAAGCCCCCCACAGAGGTCACCATACCTAGCCGACGGGTGGAGCACTACGAGCCTGAGGCCAATGAAGAAAACATGAAGATTGACCTCCACCTCATCGAAGAAAGACGAGAGCAGACCTTCATCTGGGCAGAGAACTACCGGCGTCAAGTAAAATCATACTATGATGCCGAGGTACGTTCCCGAGAATTCCAGGTGGGGGACTATGTCCTTCTCCGAAGAGAGGCGAGCAAGCCGACAGAAGGTGGCAAATTGGCACTCAAGTACGAGGGCCCCTACATCATCAGCGCCGTAGTCAAGCCTGGCACCTACAAACTAAAACACCCAAATGGGTCTAATGTACCAAGAACATGGAATATACATCACTTGGTGAAATTCTATCAATAATCCGGGGACGGTGCAGCCGGCAAAGCCCTCACCTTCCCAAGGATTGTTGGTCGAACGCTGCCCTCAGTCTCGAGCCAGTTATCTATAAAAGTTGTTTCTTACTTTTCTAAAAAGATCATAAACGTACTATACTACACTGACCCCTCAGAGCGAAGATGCTCAGGAAAGGTTAACAGAGCACATCGTTCCGGACCCTCAAAGCGAAAATGCTTAGGAAAGGCCGACAGTGTCCCCAGGACGAAGGGCCCGCAAAGAGCCCACGTCTTGATATGGGAAGCTCACCGCGTCGTCTATCCGCGAAATCAGCAGGACGACAGGTCTGAAATCATGGCCGAGGTGACAAAAATCCCCAAACTCAAGGATGAGAAATGGCAGCCATCGGTGACCGACCAAAAGCCTTAGCCCGCGTCATAAATAGGCGACGGGACCTCCTTGAGATCCCAGGATGATCCGGTAGGACTCCTTACCGACCGAGGGACTATCGACCCCCTTGGCCGAAGCCTGAAAGAAGGACACCCATTCCTCGCTCAAATGAGTAAAGAGGAAGAAAATAAAAGAGGGACAACCGAAGGACCGCGCACTTGCCGGCCTGAAGCGATATCCCCAAAATAAAAGAGGGACAACCGAAGGACCGCGCACTTGCCGGCCTGAAGCGATATCCCCAAAAATAAAAGAGAGACAGCCGAAGGACCGTGCACTTGCCGGCCTAAAGCGATATCCCCAAAAATAAAAGAGGGAAAGCCGAAGGACCGCGCACTTGCCGGCCTAAAGCGATATCCCCAAAAAATAAAAGAGGGAAGCTGATGAACCGTGCACTCGCCGGCCTCGAGCGATAAAACTAAAATTCCCAAAATTATCTAAGTACATATCAGGCGAACATTGCGTATTACCGACGAAAGCGTTAAAAAAAACTTAGACAAAATTACTAAGGTAAACTCCTGGGGCCGAAAAGGGGCACCACATGGCCGACATCACACAACCCAAAAGGGAAGCCGTCGTCTGCCACTCATAAAGGAAGCAATCACCCAAGTGTGTTCAAACAGTTAGAAAAAATTCAAAGTATTTGGTGAAATCCCTGAGTAGCATCCAGAGCGGCCGACGAGGACTCCGGGCTGTCCAACACTTGGAAAATTTCCAAGTACTTGGAAGAATTCCTAAGGGGCACCTTTCACGACCGACAAAGGCACTGAGGCCGAACAAAGGGCCAACACTCCCATCGTCTCGTAAGGAGTGGACACATACTCCAAGCTCAAATTACAGAGACGAGGAAGACACCCCCAGCCGAGCAAAAGACATGAACTTTCATCAGCCATGATTACGGAGAACAAGATTAAGGGTTGTTGTTTGACACTTAGACAACTGCAGGTGAAACTAAAAGGGATGGGGAAGGACGCAAAATGAAGGATACACGATGGCCGGAAAGGTACACATGCCGATGAAAACGCCCAGGCGTACGAATAATCCATGCAGTCCGTGTTGTCCGACGAAGGCTCCCGACCTAAAAGAACTACTTAGTTGGACACTTAGAAATATTTCTAAAGTGTGGACAAAAGGATAGGGGGAACGCCAAGATGGAGCGGACACTCAATCACTTGGAGTCTGACAATTAAAAAAAAAATCTAAAGTGTTGCGAAGAGCAAGGGGTGTTCCTCATGGGCGAAGCGCTCTCACCTAGAGCTACCCGCTTCAACCACAACCAAAGAGAACAATTATCCCAGTCATGACAAACACTTAGAAAAATTTCAAAGAATAATAAAAGCAAGAGAAAAGGCAAGACGAGGACATAGCAAGCACTGAAGTTGAAAGGCATATTTTCATTCATCAAAAAGTACATAGGGGCACAATGGCCATTACACGATAATAGTACTACTAACTAAGCTATTGAGAACAAAATAGAAAGGGGCAGCCGATCAACTCTCTGAGGCGACCTCATCAGCAACATTCCCCGTGCCGGCTCGCTCAACCTCAGCGCCAGCGCCCTCTTCGGCTTCTGCATCCACACTGGCTTCGCCTACCGCAGAGACGGCAGTATCGGCCAGGGCGTCATTATCGGACCAGTCAGACTCGTTGATGCCGGAGCTTTCCACAGGAGCCTGCCTCTCAGAAGGGGGGAGCTTGGCCTCGGCCTCAGGATCCTTCATATTTTTGGAAAGCTTCAGGTTTTTTCTAGCCCACTTTCGGGTAACCTTCAGCTTCTTAAGGGCCCGGCGCAGCTTACGGTATATAAGTCGTTGCATCCTTTGCTGGCCCATGTCGTAGTATATCGACATCTCCCTCTCAAAGTATTCCTGGTCGGCAGGGGAGTTCTCGCCCCAATCCTCGAGCTTGGCATCCACAACTTCATAGCACCAAGGCAGGTGCTCATCGGCCTTCCAGCCTTCCTCCAAGAACTTCTTAATGGCAGCATCAACGACCTTCTCCGCGGCAGCAGCTTTGGCCTTCTCGGCCTCATCAGCACGATGGCAGCCAGCCTCACGTGCCTCCCTCTCCTCGGCTAGCTTGGCCAGGGCATCATCCATGGCGGCAGCCACTTGATGGTAGGCCGCATCGGCCTCATCGGACCTTCTCTGCAGGTTCGCCACATCGGCCCTCAGCTGATCTAAGCAAGCCATGGCCTCCTCGGCCGAAGCAGTCTTCTGCTCAATCTCCCTCAGCCGGGCAATCTCCCGCCGCTGCCTCTTATTACTCTCCATGAGCATAAAGGCACCCTACAAAGACGAAACGGTTAGACAGTGCATTCGCAAAGGCAATCAAGGAAAACAACAAAGTGAAAGAAAAGGGACTTACTTGGACGACGAGGTCCATCCCACCGTCGTAGATCCTGACGTCCCCGAGCTTGTCAAGGTAGACCCGGTCCTTGGTCGGAAAGGCCTGAGAAAGCACATCATGGCCGTCAACAACATCGTTTAAGACGCCTCCGTCCACGGGATACTCCACCTCCTTTTTGTACGTGGCGGTGGCCACCTCTTTGCCGGACCGCTTCGGCCGAGTTTCTTGGACGAGGGGGAGCAGCTGAGAAACGTCAAACGACGGACCAGAAGTGAGGTCCACCATAGCGGCGGCACTGGAACCCCCTTCGTCCCCGGCTGGGACGGTCAGAACCCCAACCACGGAATCAGTGACATCCTTCTTTACCTTTTTGGAGGGCTGTAGACCAGCCTCAGTAAGTTTCTTCTGACCACCATCCACCGGCCGTTTCTTCTTTGGCTGTGGGGGTAGCTTCATTGGCACATCAACACTCAGTGGTGCCCCACTTGCAGCCGCCAGCTTTGCGGCCTCCTCCGCCTTCGCCTTGGCGGCCAGCTCTTCGGCCGCTTTCGCCTTGGCCCTGCTCATAACGGATCAACGATCCATCACAAAGTCTGCACAACCAAAGAAAACAAGTTAGCAAGGAAAAGGAAACAAACAGGTAATAAGGCCGATGAGCGAGGTATTACCATCAGCTTCGGCGGGTAGCCCCAAATCTGGGCCGTCGGCCTCCTCAAAGGTAGTGGTCATCTTCGGCCACAATTCGACATCCTCCTCCTTGTCACCATACAAAAAGAACCTAAAGAAGCCGAGGGCGGTCATCTTATACTCCCTGATATAATCCTTCATGCTCCTCGGCCCCCCTTCCAGGAATGTAGCAACTTGAGCGTCTAGAATGGAACTCTTCGGCGTATCGTGGAGATTGAACACCCCACTATGGCCGAGGGAAGGAAACTCGGTTCCCCCCTCGCCCAACGATACAAAGACGAACTTCGATTTCCAACCATGAATGGATGAGGGGAGGTCACGGAAGCTCCTCTTCTTTTGTAGCTGTTGGAGATTGGCGTAGCCGACACAATTCTTATGGCTGCCTCGGCCGATCTGGTACAAGTTCATGAATAAAGTCGTCGTCGGCTTGTAACCCAACTCATCGCAACGCAGAAGAAACCCGACGATCAGGGAGTATCTATTTGGGGACAACAAAGCTGGAGGAAGCCCCACCATATCCAAGTACTCGGTGATGAAGGGGTGGAGCGGGAACTAAAGTCCTTTGGCAAAACTCATCGGATACACCCAAAAATACCCCGGCGGAGGGTTAAGTACGTGGTTCGTCGGCCTAGGAGCCCTAACCCTACCAAAGGGCCCTACGTACATCTGAGCAACCAGGTAGTCAGCCGCTCCACACTGTGGCTTGATAATGTAAATATTGCTAAGGTCCAGCTGGGAGAAACCGGGTCCTTTCTTCGGCCGGCGCTTCCTCTTCGGAGCTACTCCCTTAGCGGTGGAAACCGGTTTTGGGCAAGGAATGGCAGTGGAGGTGGATGCACCATCCACGGCGCGGGAGAACCCCACATCTTCACCCTCAGACGACGAGCCGACTTCCTCGTCCGCATCTTCATCGTCTATTTGCTCCCCCGACTTCAAGGGACTCAAGTCCTCGATCTCCACGCAACACTCATCCACTACCCGGAAGTCAAGGGACTTAACAGAGAGCACATCATCATAAGGGTAGTACTCTTCGTCTAAGTTCTTCATCATAACAACTATTACAAACCTAAGGGGAACTACTTCAGATCTAAGGCGTTTCCTTGACTAACACTGGATCAAAGTCTAAGGGGAGCAAAGTACGCAAGGAATCGAAGAAAAAGTCGAAGAACTGACCTTGAAGTTTTGAAGGAGGTGAAGAACACTTGCAAGGACTCTCTCTCTAGAAAATTGGGCAGCACTTCGTTAGCTCTGAAAACGAATGGGTGAACCCCTTCGGAGAAAGGGGGGTATTTATAGCCCCCCCAACGGTCACTACATGTGGCACCACCCCAGTGGCCACACCAACGGCCACCAATGGGATGCCACCACTTCGTAAACGGGCCAGGCCCACTTCAGAGATCAGCAAGGCAAACTCTACGACTCGAGGTACGGGCAAATAACACCTACAGTGGCCAAGGCATTCAACGGCCAAAACAGACAACGGCTATCTAGGTGATACCTGTATCGGCCAGTCAAACGGCCATACATATTCTGTAAAGAAGGGCCTCGCAACGGCCACAACAACATAAGGAAAGGGAACCTAACAACCATCTTCACTCGCACAAAAACCCTTGATGATAACCCTTTGAAAGCGACCTGCGTCCAAGGGTTCTCCCACAGGGTTACCTTGGTCAGGAAATCGCCAAAGGGTTGGATTCAAGGGCAACATGAGGATCCCGCTTCGGCCTGGGTCTCAAACTACTCCTTCACCCCTCAGAAACTCTTCGGCTTGAAGGAGTGGGGGACTAGGGGACTACACCGGCCTCAAGAACGCAAAGATAGAACGAGAATTCAAAAGCACACTAGTACACAACTACAAACACGATCATATCGGCTATGCATCACAACGGCTTCAAGGTCCTTGTAAGTTCCATCCCCGGCCAGGGCAAAAGTGCAACACGCTCATCGTCCCCAAGAACCGGGGACATGCAGCACCTACCGGCTCAGCACCATCATCGTCCCCAAGACCTTGGGCAAACAAACCACTACACATCGCCTCGGCCAAAGGCACAATAAGTGATCAACGATAGGGCTGGCATTTTAGACCGAAAAACCGAAAACCGAACCGAAAAAAACCGAACCGCTTTGGAAAAACACCGAACCGAACCGAACCGATTGAAAATGGGACCCGAAAATTGGGACCCGATAAAAATCGGTTCGGACTCGGTTTATATTTCTAAAAAATCGGTTCAAACCAAACCGAACCGACAATTTTTATATTAGTAATACTAATAATTAATGACAGTTTAGTACAGGTATAATATTATTCCGAGTACGAATTGGACGAATTGGACTAGTAGCGGAGTTGGGCAGCCGTAGCCTATTCTCATTGAAACGTCGGGGGATCGATTCTTGCTTGCATCCGTAATGTTTGATTTTTTAAAATTGGCTTCTTTCCTCTTCCATTTTGTCCCACACCGGAAAATGAGTAGCATCCTACTCCAAAATCATCAATATAAACTAGGTCCCTCAGTTTAGAATGGCAAGATACATTCTAGGCAGCTAAGACACGTTCTAGGTTGCCATTGGGCTAATTGGGCTCAAAATTTAGCATGTTTCACTGGATTTTAGTCTATTGGATATTAGTTTAAATTTAATTATTACAACTGAGTCGGTTTTTTCGGGTTCCGGTAAACCGAACCGAAAAAATCAGGCACCAAAAATCGGTTTCTGATATTATATCGGTTTGGTTTCGGTTTTGATAATTATGTAAACCGAAATATCGGTTCGGTTCGGGTATATGGTGAATCGGTTCGGGACCCGAACCGAACCCAGCCCTAATCAACGACACACAAAACAAAGAGCGCTCATCGTCCTCAAACAAGATACAACCGTCACTCATGCCAAAGACACATATCGACCACTCATAATAGCGGACCTTCATCGCCCCAATCAAGAAAGGGCACTGATCGTCCTAGAAAGCAAAGAACATGCACCATCCGCATAGCCAGGGTCTCTCTCGTCCACAACAGGGGACACGCAATGGCCAAGCCCGAAAAGAACAGGAATCTACTCTCCTTCACTTCGTCTACATCTCAGCTTAGAGAATGGGGGACTCCTGATGGAGTATATGGGCCTAGGCCCCACGACCCACATAATCGAGAACAGAAGGCACAACTGTCACCTAGTGGGACCCTCATCGGCCAGATGACCCTCATCGGCCGGAATGAAGTCAACCCAGAATATGATCCGGAAGCCAGAAGAACCGGGTGACCTCGTCAGTCGGGTATTCGTCGGCCATGCACTCATCGGCAAGACCCTCGTCGGCCATAAAGAACTCCCAGAGCAGGATTTTGCACTTAATCATTTGTATACTCTACCATTTACTTTGTATTCGGCCCAATAGCGGTCCAGTTGTAAATGGGCCTCCCAAGCCCAAGGCTTGGGAGCCCATCCCGCATTTTTCCTATAAATACTTCCTCTGAAGGTAGTTGTAGGGGTTCACAAAAATCATTAATACAGAGCAAATATAGCACTTCTCTCTCTAGCTCTCACTTCTCTCTAGACTTATAGTCTATCAAGTAATGACTTGTGATTTTCTTTTCTTATCATGTATGTAGTATTAAAACCATTAATCCATGTCTTCTAAACTCTCTCTCTATAACGCCACATATATAAGTTTTACATGACTAAAATACGTCTAGGTAGGAATATTTTACTACCTCCGTCCCGCTATGATTGTCCCATTTTACCTTATCGGTCCGTCCCACTAAGATTGTCTCATACCAAATTTGGTAAAGTTTGTGTGGCTCTAAATCGTTCTTACTTTATTCTTACTTTATCAATTCAATATCAACTACATAAACCATTTTTTATTAATTTGCGTGCCACTCCCTCTTGTCCCATTGTTAGCGGGACGGAGGGAGTATCTTTTTGCAGTGATAGAGTTTGATATTTATTGATTGTCATAACATTGGTGATATTTATAGAAAAACGTCTTCTCATAAGTTTATAAGGTCATGAGAGAAAAAAATGAGGTGAAATTCTCTCGATCAATTATTAATCTGTTTATCTTATCTTCTTATACCTAAAAGCATTACATATGAGAGAGAAATTATCCCGCTCAATTATTCGTATGCACATTGATAGAGTATATATCTAGAGAGAAATGAGAGCTAGAGAGAGAAGTGCAAGTAAATGCTTCAATAAATGATTTTGTGAACCCCTACAACTACTCCCAGAGGTAGTATTTATAGGGAAAATATGGGATGGGCTCCCAAGCCTTGGGCTTGGGAGGCCCATTTACAACTGGACCGCTATTGGGCCGAATACAATGTGTGTAGGAATGATTAAGTGTAGAACCTAGCTCTGTGGGGCTCTCATGGCCGACGAGGGTTTGGCCGACGAGGGCACGTCCGATGAGGGCACGGCCGACGGGGGCACCCTAGTCCCCTGGCTTCAGGATCATATTCTGAGTTGGTCCCTCTTTGGCCGACGGGGGTCCTTTGGCCGACGAGGGCACCGC